CGGAGCTATCTCGGCCGACAGGCTGCTTGTTTTTGCTTAGAATATGCACCAAATCGTTTGTACTGAGCAAGATTTGACATATGTATCAATGGACTGATTTTGTTCATACTGTGTGTCTGCATAGAGTAACATTTCCTTATTTCTTCTGTCAATGATTACTAATGGGGATTTGACTTTATTCCAGATTTTTATTAGAAAACGGAGCCAATATAGCTGCTGTGAACAATGAAGGAGAACTTCCTGTTGACCTTGCAGAAGAAGAAGAAATTCAAGAAATGTTAGAAGAAGAAATAGATAAACAAGGTATAATATTTGCTAACCAACATTTTGTTGAGAATTAAAGGTCAATTTCATGACCCTTTAAGGTAGCACATTTCGGTGTTTTCATTGGTATGAAAATCAAAAGTTAGTTTATTTTTTCGATATTTCGGTGCAATTATAAACGTTACTACTTGTTTTGGTTACTAGAGTGGAATACTCATTAAAATGTCCCAATTGGGCATGTTTGTGATGCTGTCATACCAGTGACAGTACCAGGATGTATGAACTTCAGCGGTCATGAAAGTCAGCTGACCTATTATAGTAGCCAAGAGATTAAAGACACAGTCACAGCGACTTTCGTGAAATTTTGTCCTCAGAAATGCTATCATAATATCTTATCAGAATGCTTAGTGAAAATTACTTAGTTTACAGTAGATTTTTACACAGCTGGGCCTGATATTTCAGTTTGAATTAACACCATTAGTTTCCAACCTTTAGGTGATCTTTACCCTAAACTTAAATTGACAGACACATTATAAGACTTCTTTTGCTGTTGACTTTACTGCTTATACAAATGTAGTAAAAATAACAGTGATGGAATAATCAATAAATCAAATCAAATGATCCAAAGACTGGATGGGACTTGTAATCATATAAAGTAGAGATCATAAAAAGTAAGAGCTTCCGCAAATATATCTGTAGACAAAGTTTGGCAGTAAAACCTGTTAGCAGAATGGACTAAACAAACATTGGCATAATAATTCAGACGAAACAATCACTGACGTAATCATTTGTCAAATGTTATGTTAAGAACCCTGACTGTGGAAACATTCACACAACGAACATAATCTACTAGTTTAATATTTTCAAACCCCCTCTCTCATCTCATAAACAAAAGTTTGCATGGGCGAAAGTTGCATTCTAGTGGTTTCTACTTGATCTGAAGAATGCAGATTTTGAGATTTGGTTTTGTTATGAACACTTCTATCCTCAGTGTACTAAGTGAAAATTATGTTTTTTTGCTAAAAATATGAAATATTAAAAGTAGATATCCTGGTCTTACCTTTCTCACTCGTTTCATTTTGAGAGTACTGTAAGGTCTCATCTTTTTGACAATCATATCTACAATGTAACTTACTTTGAAGGATAAACATGACTACAAATCTAATTTAATTTAAGAGGACTGCTTAACTTCATATTCCACAGTTAAATTCTCTTGATGGTGTACATGTTTGTCGGATGATTGATATCTCACAGGTTTGGAAAGTGTGCTTTGATTTACAATCACTTTGAACAGGGAACCCTCACCATAGTTTGACTATGTTTTACTAGGTATTGATGTTGAAGAAGCAAGGAACGGTGAAGAACACAAAATGTTAGCAGATGCCAACCAATGGTTAAATAGTAAAGTAGTCAAAGAAAAAAAACATGACAAATCAGGAGCCACAGCTTTGCATGTTGCTGCTGCTAAAGGTTATATTAAAGTCATGAAGTAAGTTTTCTCATCGACTTATCAGTGTTTACTCACTTCATGGAACTCCGTATTTCATCAATCGAACATTTTTTTTTTCAGGGCCTTATTTGTATATATTATATAAATATTTGGGCATAGTCTCCTTGGACTACTGTAGAATACTTTATTTTCGCTTGGAATTTATTTTCGCTATTTTCGCTGAAGGGATGATTCCGTGAAAATAAAATCCAGCGAATATACTTTTTTTCCTATATTTCACATTAAACTCATCAAAAATCAGTGAAAATAAATTCCATACAAAATGCCTAAAAAGCCTTTTCAGCGAAAATTAAATCCAGCGAAAATAAAGTATTTCACAGTATTTCAAGTGTTACAAATGTGATGCTTCATGGAAGACAAAATAAAAACACTACTTTTATGGGCAACGATTTTGCTGAATAGAATTCTCAATAATTAATATTTAAGATCCATAACATACTTGATAATTAAATATTGTGTTGAAAATATTATTTATTAATGTGTAACTTGTAAAGTAAAACATATTGAGAAGATTATTGATAATCCTACTCAATGTAAAATGTTGAGAATATTTCATACCAACTATTAGTGTATGGTTTCAAATGAAATGTTGTCAGGGTGCCGCTAATATATTGATAAAATCAGAATACACCTGGCTAAATGCTGGACTGTTACCGTAGTATATTTTTACTTTCTGATGTATAGCAATGTGTTTACTTGTTTACAGTTTACTAATACAAGCAGGTGTGAGTATCAATGCACAAGACAATGATGGTTGGTCTCCACTCCATGCAGCCGCTCATTGGGGGCAAAAAGAAGCATCAGAAGTTTTAGTTGAAAATATGGCTGACTTCGCACATAAAAATAGCTTAGTAAGTAAATTGTGGATGTACCTTTTGATCATGTCATGGCTTGTCATGTTCAAAACTAATGTGACCCAGTGACTGCTAGGTCACTAACTTTTTGTCCTTGTTTAGACGTAGTCTGAAAACATCAGCTTACAGTTTACTCCATCTGTCTCCATACGTATCCTGAACATGCCTAGACTGATCTTGCTCAAACTTTATACATACATTATTCAGGGATTATTTTAAACAAGGAACAGGGGCGCAGAGCCCTCATGCCATGGCCATGTGCCCTCTTACCCTGGGGAGCAGATTCTCACAACCATAAAATTCTGATTGATCAAAGATCACATGTGGCCACAGTCTTCAACTGTGACCTGTCTGATAGTAATTTCGGGCCCAAGAAAGCCATAGAATGCTCCATTTTAACTTAGAAGTATCAAAAACTCCACACCCTGGTAGAGAGAACCCTATCTCCCCCCACTTGGTGGCGCCGCTGAATTGAGTGATTATTCATCTTGAGATTCATGTGCACGTTGATCCATCTCCCTGTGGTAATGATTCTTCTAAATCTGTCATTTATGTCATTCTGGAACCAGATCTCTGTCATGTAGAGATGACATTATTTTGTTTTTTAGATCAAATCCAAAATGGCTGGCCATTTTGTTTTATTGAATGCTGTTCCAAAGTCCTATCTTTGTCATGTCTCTACTGATCATGTTCAAATTAGACAACTACATTATGCATCGTGTGAAGCATATTAACGTGCATTTATTCTGAGTTGTGATTCAAATGGCTGACTTGTTGTCTTGTTAATGGCATATCAAACATGTGAGTGGCTTACATGCAGTGACAATATTTGTCAAGTTTTTACCTATTATGTGTATTGTAGGGAGGTACATGTTTTGATGTAGCAGATGAAGATATGTTGAAATGGTTAGAAGAACTAAAGAAGAAACAAGCATCAGTAAGTGCATCCCTAGTTTGCTTGTTATTCTACCATGATTAGCATCCTTAGTTTGCTTGTTATTTTACCATTGGTTAGTATCCTTAGTTTGCTTGTTTTTTGACCATGGATTAGCATCCTTAGTTTGCATGTTGTTAATTTACAATTTTTAGGCATTCTTAGTTTGCATGTTATTTTAAGATGATTTACAGTGTACTTAGATTGTGCTTTCAGCATCATAATTTTGCATTTTATTTCTAAACGGAATTATTGTCTTCCTTTTATAATATTTACATTTTTTATGTTGTTGGCAGGTACGATTGTCACATGTTGACACCATTAAATTACTCCTACATTCTTAAAATGACAATTATTGACAATTAGCAATACAATTTCAACATATTGATGTCCTCAGGACATTTTATCTACAAACATTTCAAAACTGCTTTGTTAAAGTGTTCCACCAACCAAAAATGGTACCATTATTAACACATTCCTTTTGCTGCTTTCAAGCTGGCTACCACAATATTCAAACAAATGTTAACCAAATGTTGACTCTAGATTTGAAAATTCTATAAAGATCATCTTCAAAATATTGAGTGACCTCCTTTGGAATCCTTGTCTGGCCTACCTAGATTCTGTGTCAGCCCTTTTGGAAACTATGTCAGCTGACTTAGAATCTGTGTTGGCCAACTTGGAATCCATGTTGGCCGACTTGGAATTTATGTTGGTCGACTTGGAATTTATGTTGGCCTCCTTTGGATCTATTTTATCCTCTTGGAATCCATGTCAGCTGACTTAGATCTGTCTGCCATCTTGGAGTCCATGTTGGCCAACTTAGAATCTATGTTGGCCTCCTTTGGATCTGTGTCAGCCCTCTTGGAATTCATGTCAGCTGACTTAGAATTTGTGTCTGCTACCTTGGAATCCATGTTGGTCAACTCGGAATCCATCGTGGCCGACTTGGAATCCATGTTGGTCGTTTGAATCTGAGTTAACCATCTGGGATTCCTTGTCGGCCAACTTGAAGTCCATGTTAACCATCTTGGAATCTGTGTTTGCTTTTATGGAACCCCTAAATTGTGGTGGCCATCTTAAAATTGTGTACTCAGTTTTGACATCCTCTATTTCATATGTGGACCACTTTAACAGCAATCGTGCTATTTTACTCAATTTCTATTGGTGTTTCTTATTTATTTCCTGCCAGCATTCCATATCAATATATATATATTTTTCTCATTTTTCTTATTTAATAAGTTGAGCATGGGGTTACTGCTGTGTTGCGGTGTCATTTATTTTGCCATAACACATCACTGCTAAAACCCCTACAGTGTAAAGCCATCATATGGCGTGATTCCTGTGTTAATTTTGCCATAACTATTGTCATAACGATGGCTTTGTTCCACCTAAATGTGTTTTATTTCAGGAAAGGTAACCTGTACACATACCAAGATAATATTGATTTTCTACTAGTTCACATAGTAAGGTGGTGTTTTCAAGGTGCCATCTTGTCATTTCACATGTCACTCGTACAGCAGTATTTAAGACCCATATTATTTTTCACATCAACTATGAAATAAGCAGACTTTTAGGATATTCTGCAACTGGATTGGTATCCTGGGTCTTTAACTAATATTAGCGAAGGATTTTTCGATGGAAGCACTTATCTCTGGGTGTTTATCCCAAAATGGATACTTGGCTGTTGATTACGTCAAGTCTTTTGATCGGTATTTGTTCATGGTCTGCTTCAATAAAAATTTATGAAAATGCAATTTTAATCAATAATATTATGGGATGAAGTTGAATCCAATTCTCCTCTGATGGCTGATACAAAGATTATGAACACAAGTGGGAAACATGATATTCAGTTTTTGTGGCGTCTACTTTGAGAATAAAAGGATTTTAATATAATCTTAATGCAGGGCTGGTAACTTTCTGACAGGCTGGTAAAATTTGAAAGTTACCTGCCCTGGTGTCTGGCGCACACTGTTTATAAGATTATAGTGTGAATGTTGTGTCTACTCTGTGCTTACAGATACAGAAAGATGACAAACCTGCAGCGCCAAGAATTGCCAGGGCACCACCACCTCTAAAAAGAAGGTAGTACGAGGCATAGAATACTCTCTCACTGCAAGCCACTCTCTCAGTTCTGCTGAATCTAATACTCCTTGCTTACCAGCAAACAATTATACTGCATTTGCTGTGTTAGAAATGCACAAAGACAAACATTTCATTTATTGTATACTGGGTCATTAAAAATGAAAACACCTTTCATTTTTGTAGGTGCATATACTTCTAACAAAGCAAATACATCTAGCAAAAAATTGCGACCTATTTAACAATTACAAGCTCATGAATCCAATTAGGATTATTTTTTGTGTTTTAAACTGTAGTTTGTGTTCATCAGAACTGAAATTAGTTGTCTTCAGTGAGAAAGTTATAGTTGTATTGTCGCGCAAACAAAACATTTTAATGGTTTTATTCATCCAGTTAGGTAGTCAGAATTGTTTCAAATAAGCTAGAGGATCTTAAATTAACATGAGGTCACTTCTTTTTTGACAAAAGCAGTCCACTGTAAAGCCAAATTCTGTGACAGTAAACCAGTTGAGGTTTAATAACTATCAAACAAAAAAACATTTAAATTTTACTAAAATCACAAATTGATGTTAACAGTTTTTTGTATGTTTCCCCCCACACCACTTTAGTATGTAAGTACAACCACTTGCAACAGTGTGCCCACTATGGGATTATAACTCTGAGTGGCAACTAGTGTGGACAGGTCCATTTTCTCTACTATCGCAAATTCTTCAA